GGAGTGAACTTACTCGACTTCCCCTAAAGAGTGTCTCACCTCCTTTCTTGTCCTCGGTTTTGGTACATCACAGCTCTTCTATGTTTATCTCAGGATCATTCTTATATAATTATATAATTATAAGAATGACAGAGTTGTATACACATGGACATTCAGGTCCTTACAGAGCCACCAAAAAAAAGTTCATTTACATGCCCATTTGAGACCAAAAATTTGCTTATCACTCAGGGATGAATTGTGCCAGCAGCAAGCAGTCTTTCCATATGATAATCCTTATATATTCTCCATATCAGACAACCACTACAGTTTTTAATTATCCCTCTACCAGTTGATCCATACGATATCTGAAATGAAATTTGTTTTAGATTTTACGGTTTTAAAATTTTCCCCAGTTTCATGGAGATGTAATTGACATACTCCACAGTACCAGTTGCAGGTCTACAGATTAATCGCCTGACGTTTTGTGAAAATGATTGGCACAGTGAGGTTAGTTAGAACCCATCATCTCACACATGTAATAAAAAGAAAAAGCAAAAAAAAAAAAAAAAAAAAAGGAAAAAATTGTCCTTGTAATGAGAACTCTTAGGATTTACTCTGCTAACAACTTTTCTCTATATCACACGAGTGTTAACCATAGTCATATTATATATTGCATCCCTAGTAATTTCTTTATCTTAAAATTGGAAGTTTGTATCTTTTGACTCCCATCCTCTAATTCCCCCCTGGGCCGCCACTGCCTGCCTCTATAGCCACAGATGTGATCTCTTTATCTCTAAGTCTGTGAGGTTTTTTAGATTCTCCATATAAGTGAGATCATACAATATTTGTCCTGTCTGACTTTTGAAAAGAAAATTTGGCTTGACACTTAAGGGGAGAGGACCGTGAATGTGACGACATAGCACTGTGAGTTGTCCAAGCTAAAACAGAGAATAAAGAGTGTTTTAAATAAACAGCCTCGGTAACCTGTGGCACAATATCAATATATGTGACTATCAGTATATGTGACTGGAGTCCTAGAAGGAGAGGAACAAGAAGGGGGCCAGAAAAAAAATGTTGAAATCAACAATGAGTGGAAACTTTCCAAATTTGATGAAAATGATAAATATACAGAGCCAAGAAATCCAACGGCTACCAACCAGGATAAACATAAAGAAGACCACGCCAAGCCTCCTCATAATCATACTGGAGAAACCAGTGATAAAAAGAAAATCATATAAGCAGATGGAAAAGGATATATTACATTCCAAGGATAATAACAGGATAATAACATTACAGATCTCTTATGAGAAATGATGAAAGCACATTGCTTGACATCTTTAAACTACCAATTGTCAAACTAGAAAAAAGATCCCTCAAAAATGAAGGCAGTATGAAGACTTATTCAAACAAGCAAAAGCTGAGATATTTCATCATCAACAGATCTACAAGACAGGTTCAAAGATGTTCTTTCGGTAGAAGGAAATGATACCGGGGTGCCTGGGTGGCTCAGTCAGTTGGGCATCCAACTTCAGCTCAGGTCATGATCTCATGGTCTGTGAGTTCGAGCCCCGCATCAGGCTCTGTACTGACAGGTCAGAGCCTGGAGCCTGCTTTAGATTCTGTGTCTCCCTCTCTCTGCCCCTCCCCCTCTCACATTCTGCCTCCCTCTCTCTCAAAAATAAACATTAAAAAAAAAAAGAAGGAAACGATACCGTATAAACATTTGGATCTTGACAAATGAATGAAGAGCATCAGAAATGGTAAACAGAAAAGACCTTTTTAAAAATCATTTCAAAATTTCTTCAAGAGAAAATTGACAAACTAAGGCAAAAATAATAATGTGTTGTGGGGTTTACTATATACAGAAAAGGAAAATATGACAAAGATAATTCAAAGGCTGTATGAAGAGAAATGGCAGCCTACTATTGTGAGAATCTTATAGTAAATAAGAAGTGGTATAATGTTATTTGAAGGTAGACTGTGGTAAGCTTAAGATGCTTATTATAAACCATAAAACAATGAGAAAGAGAGAGAATACTTGAGATAAAATGAAATACTCAGTATTCTCAGTTAATTCAAAAGGAGGCAGGAAAAAAAATGAAGAACAAGAGGAAAAACAGAAAACAAACAGCAAGATTGTAGATTTAAACACAACCATTTGGTAATTACATAAGAAGTAAATTAAAAGACTCAGTTTGGGGGCACCTGGCTGGCTCAGTAGATTAAGCGTCCAACTTCCGCTCAGGTCATGATCTCACAGCTGGTGGGTTTGAGCCCCACATGGGGCTCTGGGCTGACAGCTTGGGGCCTGGAGCCTGCTTCAGATTCTGTCTCTGTCTCTGTCTCTCTCTCTCAAAAATAAATAAATGTAAAAAAAAAATTGTTAAATAAAAAGAAAAGCCTCAGTTTGTCAGGCTGAATTAACAAACAAGATCCAACTCTGTGTTGTCTTCAAGAATAGAGAATCCTACTTTAAGAATAAAGACACAGGTTAAACATCAAAGGATGGGAAAAGATACACCATGCAAACACCAGCCTAAGAAATCTGCAGCTGCCATATTGGTATCAGACAAAAGAGTGGAGGAAGGAAGACGGGGGTCCAGGGTCCTGGAACCAGGTGGTAGGGTGATTACAGCGGTCTTGAGTGACAAACAGAGAGGGACAGAATCAAAATCCCCTGAAGGGCTTAAAACACAGATTGCTGGGCCCCTTCCCCAGAGTTTGTAATTCAGTATAACTGGAGTGGGTCCTAATTTGCATTTCTATTAAGTTCCCAGATGATGCCATTGATGCTGGTCTTGACATCCAATCTGGAACCAATGGCTCCCTTCCTTTTCTTTAAACTGGGCATAAAATAGCCTTAAGGGATAGGGTAATCAATTAGAAAAGTAAAATAAGGAAGTGAGGTACCTGGAAGTGGAGATCTTGATTTCCCTTACCACTAATGACTTGAGATTGGCTGAGATGCCAGTTGCCAGGATAGGAAACCAGGATTCTGCCTTAGCCAACCACCTGGGATGGAGGTGGGCGGGGGGCGTAGGGGGGTGTAGGACGTGCTGTCAAGGCGAAAAATACAGGATAAATAAATTTGGGCGTGGAAATACGGAGTCCAATTTTCGATTTGTTGAATTTTATTTTTTTTAATGTTTTTTTTTTTTTTTTCTAGGAGAGAGAGAGAGACAGCGTGAACAGGGGAGGGTCAGAGAGAGAGGGAGTCACAGACTGAAACAGGCTCCAGGCTCTGAGCTGGCAGTCAGCACAGAGCCCGACGCGGGGCCCGAACCCACGAACCGCGAGATCATGACCTGAGCGAAAGTCGGACGCTTAACCGACTAAGCCACCCGGGCGCCCCTCGATTTGTTGAATTTTAAATGCAGTACCCATATACCTTTCTCACTTAAAAAAAAAAAAACACTCAGTGCTGTCGGTATATTTACAAGCTTAGTCATTTTACCATAGTTCAATTCTGTGCCTCAAATGGGCACTTGCAAGCTGTGGGGAAAAAAAAATCTCTGTGAGATGTTCGCGGGCCCCAGGTGGGCACCTCTGAACTCTGCATTCGCATTCTGTCAGACACTCCGAGTCAGCAAAGCTGCACATTTGTCTGGGGCAAATGTCAAGTCAGTGGGGATCAGAGATCTAAGAAACAAGTGATCTGGTGTCATTTACATCAAGGAGTGGCTGCTGATGGTGGATGCGCGCGGAGAATGCAGATTTGCAAGACCTAGTTCCTAATTGTCAGCCATGATTTTATATAGTTTTTATTTAAAAAAAAAAAGAATTAATATCGTGCCCCTTTGTCCTACCAATCTTGCTAACGCCGCTTGAAATCTTTTGCTTCTCTATTCCAAACGTTTTGCATTATTTTACCAGCAGTCGGAAAATGGACGGCAATTACGCTGCTTTTTTCCCCAAAGGTGGAGGGCTGTAATAATTAAGAGGTTTAAAATAGCTCTACCGCAAGAACGCTTACAGTTCAAAAGCAACGAGGGGTCGCCAAGGATCTCCCTGCGGGAACCGCTTCTGCTCTCCACGAACACCGGGAAATCGTTCCCGCCTTCCTGGCCGCCGGCCGGGTGGGGGCTGCCCGCGCCTCGCCCTCACTCTCCGCGGGGTGGGCTGGCTCGGCGGTCCCTTAGCGACGTCAGCCTTACCCTCCGCCCGGAAAGGGAGACAATGCCATGTGAATTTTTGCAGGTATCAAGCGTTTCTCCACTCACTGCCCCCCCTTTGGGGGGCTGGGGGGCCTATTACGGATTCTTTGGAGACGGATGGAAACCGGCCGCGCCCAGCCTGGCTAGTCCCCGGAACTACCAACCCCCCCCCCAGGCCGGGATGCGGACGCGGGGGGTCAGGTGCGGGAACCCCGCGAGGGCCGCGACCCCACGGCCACCGCCCCGCCCCCAACCCCCACCCGCGGCGACGCGCGCGCCCCGGGCGCAGTGCTGGGCCCGGCCGGGGGCGCGCGAGCGGGCGGGGGGCGAGCGCGGCGGAGCGGGGGGCGCGGGGAGTGCGCGGAGCCCTGGCGCGGGAGCCCCCGTGACGCACCAGTGACGTCGGCGGCGGCGGGCGGGATTTCCCGGCCCCTCCCGGGCGCCGGGCGAGACCCTGCCGCTGAGTGGGCGTGACCACCGTGGAAGGAGGGCGGCCGGGGTCGGGGGGTCTCGCGCTCCGCACGCCGCCGGTCCCGGACACGCTCCGAGAGCCCCGCACGGCGGGTGTGAGCGGGACGGAGTACTTCGGGTCTGGGTGACTTCCCTCGCGCGCGGGGCACCGGCTCGGCCCCCCTGCACCCCCGCCCCCCCGCCTCACGTCGCCCTTCCCCTGCCCGGGCGGGGCTGCTGACGCGGCCCGGAGACCCCGGGGGCGGCGCGGGGCGCGCCTTTCCACCGCGAGCCCGCGAGCGCCGAGGCGCGCGGGAGCCGGAGCCCGAGCCCGCTCGCCCGCCCGCCCAGCCCCGCGCCCGGCCCAGGAGCGATGCCGCGCGCTCTGGCCGCCCCCCGCGAGCACCGCGTCGGAGACAAAGCCCGCGCGTGAGCGGCGCCCTCGGCCCGCGCGCCCACCTCCGGGTAAGTGGGCGCCCCGCCGGCGGGCCGGGCCGGTGTGTGTGTAGGGGGGGGGGAAGGGGCGGCACTGCCCCAGCTCCGGCGAGCCCGGGGCGAGCCAGAAGCAAGAAGGCAACTCGGGCGGGAAAGTCTCTGCAACTGGAGACGCGGTTTGGTGCGTGTGTCGTCCTGCCGTCCGTGGGAGCCCGCGAAACAAATACCTTGTTTCTCCTGGCTGCCCGCAGCTGGGGGCCTTCCCGCTGCCGCACAGGTGGGCGTCGGCGGCAGGGCGCTGGCAGGTGAGCGCGCGCCTCGACCCCACGACCCTCGGCCGGGCGGTTGGCAAAACCCGAGCGCGGGTTTGGACAGACCGCTCCGAACGCTTACGGGAGGTCTCCAGGTGCCCGGGGTCTGCCGCTCTCTGGGGCTTGAGGCGGGGGGAGGCTCCCGGAGACCCCTCTTCCATATGTAGGTCACGAACGTTTGCCATTCTCTGGGCAGAGACGTCCCCCAGTTGAAGAGGACCGCAGTGGGAGGGCTGGAGTGGCTAGTTGGTCGGTTTATTTATGGAAATGTGTTCTGCGAGTGCCTAAAGAAGCCCTCATGATTTCGCAGTACCTTGGGACACCTGTCTCCAGGGCAGCTCTGATGGTGACAGTAGATGAGACGAGGGTTTGGTCTTGCCCTTCCTTATGGCGTCTGTCCCCCGAGGCTGGTGCTGAAACGGGCTGCGCCCGCAGCGCGCGCACCCAGCGGCATTGGGGGAGCTTTGGTTTAATGTTTGAATTGCCTTAGAAATAATAACGGGAGCGGGTGGGGACAGAGATGTGCCTGGGGAAGACTTCTTCATTTGGGAGGATTTGCTTATTTTCGTGCATTGTGGGCTAGGGTGCTAGGAAATCCAAAAATGGTAAAGTTTGATCAAGTGATAAAGTGGATCATGGACACCAGGTCTCCCACCCTCTTCCCAGCTCCCCACCGCTGCCGATCCTCGTCTCTTTCCCTTAGCTCGCCGTTTCAGTCCCAGCAGAAGGCCTCCTGGGCTGCGCTGGTGTTGCCCATTAAACCGCGTCCGTCTTGTCATCTGGTCGTTGAGTCCTCACGGGGAGGCCTCCTTCCCACAGTGGGACAGGAGAAATCAGTGGTAAATGCCCCAAAGCAGCAGCGAGGAGACCCCGGCTGTGTGGCTGGCTCCTTGATGCTTTGGGGAAGTCTCTTTCCTGATTTTTGCATATGCGGCGGGGGAAGGGAGGCACACCGCCATCTGATCTGGCCCCGTTCCCTGCGAGAAGCTTGCTGTGGGAACAACTGAGATGTTAAACGGAAAGCCTTTTTCAGTCCTGAGAAACAAGATGTAAACCAGGAATTATTTTTGAAGTGTGGAGCTGACTCGGTTTATCAGCCTGGATAAAAGATGGATATAGCACTTAATAAGTGGTAGGTGTTAATGTAAACACGAGGTTTATTGTGATGCGCTGCTAGTTAATGAGTGGCCTCACCACAGGGTTATTATTAAGCTGAAATAAGTATTTAGGACAACGGACTTCCTCTTTGCTCCTCTACCACCACAGGGCTCCAATCCTCAGCCTCCTTAGAATAAAATTGCCCAAAAGGAACCTGTGGATGAAGTCTGAGAAATAGACACAGCAAAAGGCTCATTCCCAGTTGTCCAGTGACTAGCTAGGCATTTGCCTTTGACATTTCTCAAGCAAGTAGACAGACAGTGGAGAAACCGGGAAAAAGCTGTACTCATTGCACAGCTCGTAAAGCCAAAGTGACAGTCTCCAAAGCTACCCATATCTCAGCACTTAGTTTGAAATGGTAGAAAATTAGGTGGGCACACGGGCCCTGTCATCCCCCTGGCCCCTGGGGTAGCAAGTGCCCTGTAGCTGTCTCAGGAGGCCGGGTGGGGCTTTAGGACTGATTGTATATGATGCCACCTCTCCCCTCCACGGCCGCCACCTCTCCCTGCCGTGGCCGCCACCTCTCCCTGCCGTGGCCACCACTACACAACTACTGCTTAGTGAGGAAGGCAGCCAAATGGCTAAGACAGAAGTCTGCAAGACAAATCATTCTTATTTATTTATAGGCACATCTCACTGTCACATTTCTCTTACCTTGACTCATTTTTGTTCTACGTGAAAAGGGGAGAATGCCTAATGATGCAGCACATGTCCGCAAATTGCCCTTTTTCTTCATGGAATTTTGAAACCATGTCTTTACGGTATTACCTGATTTGTTCTCAGAATACCTTTATAAACATATTCTATTCTCTAATCGCACAGATGTCCCCCTCCATTTGGAATTTTATTGATAAATAGATATGATAGACATAGGCATAAAGACACTTATTATTACACAGCTAGAGAGATTATTTGTTTGGTTTTCTTAAACCAGGAACTGAAATATAACTTCTTTTTTTTTTTTAAGTTTCTTTATTTTGAGAGAGAGAGTGGGGGAGGGTCAGAGAGAGAATCCCAAGCAGGCTCTGCACTTACAGTGCACTTACAGTGCAGAGCCTGATGTGGGGCTCAACTCACCAACCTTGAGATCATAACCTGAGCTGAAATTAAGCGTCAGACTCATCTACTGAGCCACCCAGGAGGCCTGAAATTTCTTTAATACACCAAGAATACTACAAAAACATCCTCTTCTCAGTGGCCAGCAAGGGAATTTTAACTGAAAATCAGAGAAACCAAGTGAGTGTCAGAAAAGAGAAATAGGGAGGCCAATTATAATATAGAAATTAGCATAATACTCCTGTAAGATTTTAACTGGCTGGTTACAACTGTATGAAGAATAAACCAAATATCTTAAATTATCAGTAATGGAAAATGCAAATGAAATTTCCATTTAGGGAAGGAAGTAGAGGCAAGAATTACTGCTGAAAGAAAAAAAATCACTGCAGAGAAAACAATGGGTACTTAGGAGGTACCCAATTCAGTAAGCTAGCTGAAGCGTTCCAATCACTTTAATTGTCAAGGAGCTTTTGTTAGGTTAAATAGCAGGTGGTGTGCAATCCATTTTCCTACTGGAACCCAGCAGACAAAATGGCAGGTCTTGCCGGGGTAGGAGGGAGGGGAAGTGTGGCTGTGTTGCAGATAACCATGCTTGTGGAATGGGTTCTGCAGCCCCAGGAGGAGTGAGGACATATATGTGGCTCTGGAGTAGCCACTGGCCCCTGAAGCCTTGAGGTTCTTGCATATCTGCAAGCAAGTCACCAATGGTCCAACCTGAGAGGGCGGTCCTGGGGAGGGAGCCCCCGGCTAGTGGCGACTGAGTGGAGGGGGGAGGAGCAGGCTTGAAGTCCGTGAGTCACATGGATGCTCTCCTGTAACCCCCAACACCATACCTGCAAGGCTTCTCTGTAGCAACACAAACAAACCCTGTCCAGGAGTGTTATGGCAGGGTGCTTGGTGGGTGGCAGTGACTTGGTGGTGACCAAGGAAAAGCTTATACAGATACGAAGTGGCAGCAATGGAGACAAGTGAAAGAGAAGAAACGGGGTTGTGCGGGGAAACCGTGCCCAGGTACGGCGCGTGCGCTCCTTTGACAAAACAGCAGATTGCTTCCTCGCTTGGATTTCTCAAACCATTTCACCCTGAGTGGCTGGGTTGGTTCTCCCTAGTGGGATGTGTGCTGTGAGGCTGAGGAAGAAGAGGTAGAAGAAATGCTGTAAGCATCCTTCTGGGGCTCAGTCATTCCCCCCGCCCCCACCCCTCACCAGCGATCGTGTGCACAACACGAGCAACAGCCCTGGGTCCACTAACCCGTACCACCTTTGCTTGTCTGCAGTTCTCATTAGTGCCTATGTTTCCTCCTGGCTTTCGTGTATAATTTGCAGCTGTGGGAACGTCTCTTCTACCCCTTGCCCAGGGTCACCACCAAAGGAAGAGGGGCTGGGAGATAGTAATAGGAAAAAAGGAAACCTTTAAATTGTTTCCAAAATTCTTATTAGGACATTTTTACAACCACAGCAGAAGGTGTATGTATATGTCCCCATAACCCCACCACCCAAAATCGACTGTATCTATTTCTGGCTATCACACAAATATGTAAAATTGAGAGACCTTCACCAAAAGCACTGTGCAAGAATGAAGGCTCAAGGAGGAGAAATGGAATTTGAAACAGAAAGGAAAGAGCAAGGGAATATGGAAAGAGAGTAGAAAGCAGAGTGACGTGCAGAGGCTGCCTGAGGTGGTCTCAACAGCCACCCAGCCGGCTCTGTGGCTCAGGTTCTGAAAACCGTGGGAGAGACAGAAGTGGCGACGGCAGACGGTGGGTGGTGGTGCCCCATCCTTGGCCCCTGCAATGTTGGACACAGTGGGGACCGAGATCTGGCAGCACATAAGCTGGGGAAGCCTGCATTTGCTGACTACCCCACTGCACACTCCGCATACGGCACGGCCTGCTTTCCAGCTCAAACAGCAGAACCCACTTTATTTTATTATTATTATTATTATTATTATTTTTTATTATTTCTAGGAGAGAGAAAGAGTGAGCAGGGGAGGGTCAGAGAGAGAGGAAGTCACAGACTGAAACGGGCTCCATGCTCTGAGCTGGCAGTCAGCACAGAGCTCGACGCGGGGCTCGAACCCACGAACCGCGAGATCATGACCCAAGCGAAAGTCCGACGCTTAACCAACTAAGCCACCCAGGCACCCCAGAACCCACTTTAATATGGCCAGAAGGAAAAAAGCTTTTCCTCTACCCTCTTAGGTTTAGTGACTGGAGCCTGTGAATTAAACTGACAGCAGGAGAGATTAACAGGAGAAAAGAGCCAAACTAATAGGAGAAAAAGTTTGTTCTACATGCACACAAGAGCTTCACAGGAAAGACAAGAAGACCTGAAGAAGCCATTAGGCCTGAGAGCTCATATACTATTTTAACAAAGGGAGATAAGTTATGGGAAAGTGACAAGACAAAGAAAAAGGGGTTTGAGGTTCTAGGGGCAGTAAATCATGGGACGATAAATATATGGAGGAAACTTGTGGACGGTAAGAGTTATTTGCTTGTGCAGATCC